TTCCATGTGTGTCTGTATGTCTGCTCTTCCATATGTGTCTGTATGTCTGTTCTTCCATGTGTGTCTGTATGTCTGCTCTTCCATATGTGTCTGTATGTCTGTTCTTCCATGTGTGTCTGTATGTCTGCTCTTCCATATGTGTCTGTATGTCTGTTCTTCCATGTGTGTCTGTATGTCTGCTCTTCCATATGTGTCTGTATGTCTGTTCTTCCATGTGTGTCTGTATGTCTGCTCTTCCATATATGTGTGTCTGTATGTCTGCTCTTCAGTCTCCTGCTGCCCCAATCAGATTTCCAGGTGTAATCTGTGCAGGACACGGGAACTTTTATACCGGTTCAAGGTCCATGGCTTCCTTTTGGTTGTTCTAATCTCTTCGACATCCAGGCCTGCCTACCCGCAGCTTTAAATGTGCCCCTTTTTCTGAGCAAACAACAAGTTTTTCAGTTTTATTTCTAAAGATTTATTCATTTTTATTTTATGTGTATGGGTATTTGGTGTGCATGTATGCAATGTACCAGGAGGCCAGACTAGGGCATTGGATCCCCTGAGACTGGAGTTACAGATGGTTGTGAGCCATTATGTTGGTACTGGGTTTTGTACATGGGTCCTCTGGAAGAGGAACAAGTTCTCTTAACCTCTGAGTCATCTCTCCAGCCCCCAGTCTTATTTCTTTTTCTGTTCTAATCTCATCTCTGCTGCTGTAATAGAACCATTTCTGAAAATGCACCAGAGGTGTACTCTGCTAGTCACATACATACTTCGTGATTTGATCAAGTGGACTAACAAGGCCAGCATCAGAATCTATCCAAAGGTACAAATCTTTACCAGGAAGTTGTCTCAGCAGGTGAAGATGTTCCCCACCAAGCCTGACAACCTGAGTTCAGTCCCCAGGACCCACATCATAGAGGGAGAGAGCAGATCCTGCAGATTGGCTTCTGACCTACACTTGTGGGCATGGCATGTGCACACGATCACGCGTGCGTGCGCACACACAGTCACACACAGACACACACTTCCTTTCACACGCACAAGTAAATAAAATGCACCAAAAATATTTGAAAAAAAAAAAGACACAGCTCTTTCCCAATTTGCAATCCTCCTTGCCTTGTGGAAGTTGTTTCTGTAAGTTATGGTATTAATTTTATTAGTTTAGATTAGATTTCTAGTTAGAGAACTTCACAGGTACATAAGCACTTAAGATTATGAATGATCGCTGTGTATGAAGTGGGAAGCCAATGAAGCAATATAAATGTCCACTACTAGGCCATTTGGCTGGGTTGTGGCTCATAAAACAGTGAAAATGTGTAGCTTTAAAAAATGATGCAGTAGATTTGCTGAGACCTGGGGGATGGGAAGGCAAACTGTCACACCTGTGAGGGTTCCATCGTCCCTAGAGTTTTCACTCGCTATTCCAACTGGCCCTCATCTGGATGCTGCTGTGAAGGGATTTCACAGATGCGATTCACATCGAGTTTAAGACAGGGGAATCACCTTTAGCGGGCTATCCTGGCAAACATGCGAGTTTGCACAAGGAGAGTCTCTGTTCCTGGCTGTGAAGATGAAGATTGGTCATGTAGACCATGCTGGCCCCCGAGTGCAGATCACAACCTTGAAGCTGACAGCTCAGAAGGACACCAGGCCTCAGTGGGATCTCAGTAGGGAACTTAATTCTACCAGCGGCCTGAGTCTCTTGGAAGTAAATTCCCTCCAGTACCTCTCACCAAGAACTCGGCCTTTGAACAGAGACCTCAGGCACACGGTGCTGACTTACCGAAGGCCCTGGACTAATAAATGGATGTGGCTGTAAGCTGATAAATATACGACAATTCCACATAGAAGCAGATTCAATATGATAGATTATTCACCAGGAACTGTACAGCAAGATCCTTTTCACCTGGCCTTCAATAACTGCTTATTCAGTGAGTGCATGTGTGTGTGCATGCATTGTGTGCCTCTTTGTGTGTGTGTATGTGTGTGCATGCATGTGTGTGTCTCTGTGTGTGTGTGTGTGTTTGGGGGGGGTGTTCAAGCCCTGGGCCTTGTGTATCCTAGACAAGAACTCTACCACTGAGTTACGACTTCATGCCTGTGTGTGATTTAAAAAGCAATAAAAGTCCACAGGAAAAACACGGGAAATCACAAATCACTGTTATCTCTAGATGGCATTGTAGGTGACTTTCACTTTCTGTGTTTTATGTTTATCAAGTGTTCAAATTGTTTAGAACAAGTACATATTTTTAGGAAAGAAAGAAAAAAGTAGAGTGAAAATATTTGCTGATTTTGCTCTCCTAGAGGTTTAAATATTGCCGTATTCAACTCTGTCTACAGGTAGTTTTTTTAAAATAAGGTGTAGTGTCAGGAAGAAAAATAACCAGTCCTCAGGAGCATACTCCTTCCAGCTTTGAATACATCTATTAAATATGCTGAGCACCCATGTGGTGCAAAGCAGCCTGCAGACACCGTCCTCCCCAGCACTTCCTGATTCTCTGCAGCATCCCCTGGCCTAGCACAGTGCTCAGTTCACATCCTTCCTGCGTCCACCCAGGAGACAGGACCCAGGCTCGCACGGAGCTGTAGCCAGATCTGCTTGGGCAACAGCAATTCTTTACTAATGCACGTAACAACAACACGCTTTTCCTTTGTCGCTTGGCATTAAGGGATCTTAAGTCAGGTCATTCGTGCTCCGAGGTGGAAGAGATGCAGTCAAGAGACTTCCAGCATGGTGGTGGAAGCAAAAATATTAGTGTTATAATAACCTGAATTCACACACAGGTCAGCCAAGTTCCCTGGTGTACCGTTCCTGTGTGTAAAATAGAGACAGGTGCCTATTTCACAAGGTTCCTGGGAGAATCCAGCAAGGCAGGTGAGCCCCCTTTTCTGGCATTTGTGACTATCATCTACTATATTAAGCACCGGGTACTTAGCACTGCTTAGCGACAGCACACGTCAGAGAACAGCGTATTCACCTTCCTCCTGGACTCCCTGTGTTGTTGGCAGCCACATACCGCTAACACAGGGAAAGATCCAAACTCAGCCTCCAGAAGGGGGACCAGAGTTGAAGGAGCGGCTCAGCGGTTACGAGCACCTACTGCTCTTACAGAGGCCACTAGCTGGATTCCCAGCATCTACTTGGTGGCTCCCAACAGTCTGTAACTCCATTCTCAAGAGATCTCACACCTTCTTATGGCCTATGTGGCGCCAGGCATGCACATGAAGCACAGACGTATTTGTAGGCAAAACACCTCTATGCACTAAAGCATAAATAAGAGGCAATTGTAGAACGAACCGTAGATGAATACAGCTAACCGTGGGAGCTTGTTCCCAGCCTGGAGATCATCGCGAGACCTAAAACAGCAACAAAACAAGATGAGTGCATTCAGGGACCCCTACCAAAATAGCCAATAGGAGATTAGGAGCCTTGGCCCATGTCATGGTCTTCCCATGGTAATCACATCTGTCAGAAGCATGTCAAAGTCAGAACGCACACAAACGGAAACGGTGCAGCACAGAAACGCTGAAGTGATGTTCTTGATGCCAAATTCTGAAGCGGACCTTCTCGAAGCTTTGCCGCCTTTACTCAGAGAGCTACATCGTCTTGGTATTTTTACAGTATGTTTTTTATATTGTATTGTTATTATACGGACCATCATTTGTTTTGTGTCTTTTCAAATGCACCTTCTTGTTTTTGTTTTGATTTGTTTTTTTTTTTTTTTTTTTTTTCCGAGACAGGGTTTCTCTGTAGCTTTGGAGCCTGGAAACTAGCTCTTGTAGACCAGGCTGGCCTCGAACTCACAGAGATCCGCCTGCCTCTGCGCGCCATCTTCTAAAGTGTCATCCTAGTGTTACCTTGCCTTTGAGGACGGATGATGATGGTGTTGGGAACTGGCGAGAGTCATGTGGAAGGGACTGGGTTTTCTCTTTACACTCGGCGCTTAATTTTTTCCCATGTTTTCAGAAGTAGGCGGCAAAACCCACAACAACAAACAAACAAAAACGGCTCCGAGAATCCCAACCGATTGGCATCTTAACATGGGAAGAGCAGTGTGCTCCCAGTGGGTGGGGAACGGGACGCGCGTGGCCCTTGGGCCTCAGTGTGCTCCACTCCATTTTAAGATCCAACTTTGACGTGACTTGGAACTTTTATGTTTCTCAAAGCGGGTCCTCTGGTTTGGGAGCGGAGAGGAGATGAGGAGGATGAGAGGACCCCACCCGGAGGCCTGGCAAGTCGCCAGGGACTGCGCCCTCGGTAGGCTACCCCTTCCAGGTCCGGCTGCTGGGCGCACGCGGGTCCGGACCCCTCGGTCTCCGCCCCGGGGCGAGCCCAGCCCGGGCTGCGGTCCCGCCGGCCTCGGCGGGCAGGGCGCGGCGAGGGCGAAGGGCGAAGGGCCAGCGGCGGCCTGGGCGTCCGTGTGTGGCGGGGGCCGTAGGGGGAGGACGCGGGCCGAGGGGGAGGGCTCACATCTCGGCGAAGTTCCCGGATGGTCGCAGCCTCCCGGCGCGGAGCGCTTTTCCTGCCCTCCCCGGCTCTGCCCTGCGGACCCAGAAAGTTTGCCAGAAAAAAAATGCCCCGCGCGCCGCGGGACCGAGGAGCCGCCCGGAGCCGCCGCGCGGTAAGGGAGCCGCGCCCCGCCATGCAGGACGAGGGGTCCACGGAGTTGGGGGGTGCACGGGCGGGATGTCGGGGCCGCGGTCCCAACCCGGGCCCGCGGTACCGCCCGCGCGGGAGGAAGGGGCGGCAGCCGCCCGGGGTATTGGACGCTGCGCTTCCAGCTGAGCGCTGCTGGGCTGCAGGGACCTGGGGTCGCCCGCGGTCGGAATCGTATCTCACCGCGGTCTCCCCGCGATGCCCGGACGCCGCATCTGCAGCCCCAAGCTCCGCCGAGGGCGGGTGACTTTGTGGCGTGTGGATCACAGAACTTGACTTCCCCTTCAATGGTCCCAGGCATCCGGACCCTGAGTCTGTGCACGCCCTAGGTGCCTGTGTCTGCTCCTGAAGCGCGGCCAGCTCGGGTCAGGGCTTTGCGCCCGGGGCCTCTCCCCAAGTCTGGGACAGCTTCCCTTCATTCTCGCACCCCCTACTTTGGCATGCTTTCCTTTTAAAAGAAAGAACTATTAAACTTGCTAGTGTAAGGGAAATCCAATAGGGATGACCCAGATCCTCAGTTTGTGGCTAGACTTTGAACTCAGAATAACAAAAGGTGTGTCTATGTGGAACCTGGTTTGACGAGGTCCTGCTTAATCTCCAAGGAATATTCAGCCTGGGCTATGGGCTCCTAGCCCCTCAGGTTCTTTCCAGTGAGCAGGTTTGGTCTTCCTTTGAAAACTACTAGTCTGTCTTGGATCTTTTTTGCTCTTCACATCTCTCCAATCCTGTTCTGGGCTGCAGGTAGCCTCGGGGACCCACAGGGACGGTGGCCGTGTATGCAGCCTGGGTAGGTTTTCTTTGAATACTTTCCACACGATTTGACGATTGCAGTTTCTTTTGGAGTCATTGATAGATTTTGCCTCCTCAAAAATGCAGTAATGGGTAAATAGCCTAAAGACATTTTCTGTTTCAGTTTGTAGATGACCTTTTGACTTCTTAGAGAAAACCTTGCATCCACAATCACATCAGCCCTTATCTTTCAGTGCTCGCTCGGGACACTGCCCTCCACCCCACTCACCTGCCAGTTGTCATCCCAAGGTTGGGTCTCTCAGACATAGGGGCGTTGCACTGTATAGATCGTACATGCGTCTGTGAGTGTCAGACAAGGCTTTGCAAATGTTCTTGCAGCAGCTCAGCAGCATCGCGTCTTCCCTGGTACTACCCAAACCCTGCCTTACCTTTCCTCCCTGGGAATCTCGTGAGCGCTTTTAGATTTGTACGCAAGATGGAATTCCAGGACCTTCCTGGAATGAAGGTATTTCCAGCTGGAGCCGGTTGTTCATTTCACACATTTTCCACTGTGTGCTTGGCTACTGCCTAATGCCCTTAGGTTTCCATGTGACCCGAGCCTCATTCAGAAATGAATGGATTGATAATCTTGACAGTTGTTAAATTACAGGGCGCGAGGATATAGTAGAATAGCGGGGTGTGAAACGGCACGAAGCAGTTCGACACACGGGTAACTCAGTCACTGAGCATCGTGGAACACCAAGACACAGGCGCAGAAGTGAACTGCAGGGTGATTGGTGTCTTTGTCACTGTCTTTGCTACCTAAGTGTGTGTCTACCTAGAGCTGTGATTTTAAAGATGTTCGCGTTCCACATCGAAACTGGAAGAATAAAGGTTCACGAGAGCGGTTTTTTTGTCTGCTGCTGTAACCCCTTCGTTTCTAAGAACCTGGGAATCTGTCTCCTAGAGCTGTGGCCTTCCAGGGGCCTCCTGTCCTCCAATGGAGTCGACCAGAGTTCTAATGATTTCCATACAGAGGGCCCTCTGCAGCTGGTTTCCAGCAGCCCGTGTAGTTAGGCCACGGACCCCACAGATGCAAATTGGGTCGCAGTTGGTTTCAAACGGGCTGCTTTTTGAGCACCGAGGGAGGGTCTCTCTGCTGGAAGATTTAGTCATGCTCTCTGTTGGTAGAGGAGAGGTTAGCACAGAAGGGCTTGCACCCGGTGCTTCCCATCAGCGTAGACAACCTTGTTTTGAAACAGTTTGACTGCAAGGCCAACGTGGTAAGGTGGAGAAGGGCAGAGGACACATGCTCAGGGATGGTGAGGAGAGAAATTACTTCCAGCTGGTGGGACTCTGTCCATCCTGGGTTCGTTCCCTTAGCAATTATCATTTTCTGTGTGCTTTCCATGGAAAGATTAATAGGCACATTCATATGCTGTCCCACCATGCCCGCTTCCGTTGAGAAACACTCCTGGTTTCACTTCCCGGGGACAAAGGACTTCCTCATGGAGCCTCATTGTGCTGCCCAGCCCTAGCAAATGTTAGTTGCTCTTCACCCCATGGGAATTACAGTCAGGTTGAGATCACTAACTCTGACTCATGTATACTTTTGAATAATAAAAACTCTGAGAGTCCCTTCAGTTAGTTAAGTAGTATTATCTGCTAAGGTGTGAATTAGTGTGGCGTAGTCTGGTCCCTGGCCATGTGTGACTAGAAGCTCACAAAGGCCTAATTCTGTGAGTGTGGAGTGAGGGGTGGAAGTTTTGTTTTGTGATTTGTTTATGACCGGGTCATGATAGGTAACTGTGGCTGGCCTAGAACCTGCAGTGTAGACCAGACTAGCCTTGAACCTGGGGCTGTCTTCCTCCTTCTGCCTCTTGGGTACTGGAATTTTGTGCGTGAGCCTTTAACCTTAGAGGTTTCAGTTTTTGTGATCCCCAGGTGATGCGGTGTGTACCGAGTACAGTTCCCATGTTATTGCCTGGACCATGAAGTCTACTCAATCTTGTGTCTGCTAAGTACCCTGTCTTACCAGGTCTCTATCTCTTTACCCCTAAAATGAGAGCAACAGTCTCTACCTGGAAGATTGCTGTGAGGCTCAGGTGTGGCCCTGCGCCTGGTCTACTTAACAGGCTGTATACAACGATGCTGTCGGTGTTAGTGGGCTGTTATCATTAACATTATTATGATCAGTATTAGTGTATACACCACAAAATAGCCTGCACATAGGAGCTGCTTTTTGCATAAATTAACATATTACCAATCTCTTGGCTCTCCGGGGTCTGTCACCTGTTTCCTATCTACCATGTAGCCCTAAGGAGGAGAATAATCTTGGTGTTGAGGTGCTGCAGTATCTGTGCACCCCGTGGAGTCTTCTCTGCTGAGGTTTTGAGGACAGGTTAAGCACAGGGAATGTAAAGACAGCATGCGTCATTTTCTTAGTCCTTTGGCACCGGGAAACACTTGCTTTCATGTTGTAGTAGACACATGGTAGCCCCCGCTGAGGGGAGCTGAGAATAACCAGTGTACTAGACTGCCTGCCTCAGGCAAAGATGCTTTGATCTCAGGTATGGAACCCAGGCCCAGTGGTCAGAATGCTGTTGTTTCTTGTGGCATTACAGAGTCCTGCCCATTGTTATTGAGAAGTCAAAAGCAGTAAGCTTTGCTACTCAAAGAACACAGGTGAAATTAACAGGCGATGTAACTATGTATATACATAATTTTTGTATTGTGGTTTTGGTCGCTGTGATTCGCCTAAGACTGTGTCACTATAATGTTTAATGTTGTTTACTGTAAATGTATTTTTCCTCTTTGAATAAGTCTTTTGTTTTCTAGTACAACTCATTTCTTCTTCTGATTCCCCTTTTATCTCTCAGTTATTTCAGTTTAAACTTTGCTTTTTTTGTGGTGCTGAGATTTGAACACAGAGCTTAGGACACGCTAGGCGGGACTCTATCACTGAGCTGCAGTTAAGCTCAACTATATTAATTTAAGTGAGTGAAACTCTTCAAATCTTCTAATGAAATAATCCAGGGACTGGAGAAATGTTTGGCTGTGCACCACACGAATGCAGCTGTTTTTGGAGGCCCAAGAGCAGGTTGGATCCCACGGAACTGGAGTTACAGATGGTTGCATGGGTGCTGAGCCATCTCTTCAGCCCCTCCAGTCCTTTCTTTTCCTTTTTCCCTTCTTCCTCCCCTCTCCCTTCCTCTACCATTGCCGCTCACATGTCTTTTAGCTGGAGCCTGTCCTGGAACTAGCTCTTGTAGACCAGGCTGGTCTCGAACTCACAGAGATCCATCCGCCTGCCTCTGCCTCCCGAGTGCTGGGATTAAAGGCGTGTGCCACCACCGCCCGGCTCAGCTGGTTTATTTCGTATTCATGCAACCGTGCGAGATTTTTGTTTTAAGTGGAACCTGAGGTCAAGCTGTACAGCCAGTGGCAGGGTTAGCGTTCAGACCTGGGCAGTCTTCTCCCAGGCCTTGCTCCTTTGACTCCTAGCCTGTCCCTAGTCTTATTCCACAGCACTCTCTCATTCTGGGCTTCAGCTAAGCTACTTCCCATCCCCATCTGACCGCCTTCTCTGCATTTGCATAGTGAGTTTCTACAGACTTTTCAGATTGGTCACAAATCTGTATGAAGACAGAGATGATAGACTTTGCTGCTATCCCGTTAGAGCAGAGCTAAGTGGGAGGTATCGTTCCGCACACATCTCTTCAGCACCGGTGGTTAGCGTGGCTCCTGGTCTCAGAGCTCATTCCTGCACACTGGGATGCTCCCTGCTGGCTTTGTTCCTCTCAGTCAGCTTCTGCCACTGTTGACTTGGGCCTCCTGGGCTTGATTCCCGCTCCGTCCTGTATCGCAGCAATTTGTCTTTTCTCCCCCATTAGACTGCAGGATCTTCAGAGCAACCACTTTTGAGAAACATCCTTTTTTATATTTACTCCCCTGAAATGCTACTTTGTTGATTAATGGCCATTAAGTGGATTTCTCACCCTGTCAGTCAGGGTTGAGGCGAATGACTTTCATGTGTAGTCAAAACATATCCTTGTTTCACAGAAAACTCTGGTTTTTAAGATGCGGGGAAACACATTTCAGCTGGACTTTGACCATGCATGATCTGGATAAAGTGACATTCTTATTCATCCCCACGGATGACCTTCACCATAGAGTATGTTTATATATGCCAAAATAGGAACTCGTTCTGATAACACGTAGGATTTGTATTCTTGT